CAGGGATGGGGTGAAAATGTATAAAATTCAGGATGAAATATTTCTTCTTCCCACCAATTTCTTGTGGACCAAGCCACCCAACCATTAGTCATCACATGATCACTGTAGTCTAGTTGAACATCCGGGGTCCGGATGATTAATGTAGATAAGGTAGTCTTTTTAAAAACTCAAACCAAGATAATGAAGATACTTAAAAATTTTTAATGAAGAATTTTAGATTGTTTTCTAGTCTTTTCTATTTTTGTTGGCAGAATTACAATATTGTTACAGTCCAGATAATTCCAGATATCTTTAAAGCCAGTCCACACCAAATATGTGTTCTTGTGCCTAGGAAAGTATAAATCTAAAAACAAAACAACAAAATCCTCTGAAGAGACAACCAAACCTAGCAGAATTATATACCCGTGTTTAGGTCTGAGATTCTACTTTTCAAATCTGCCTAATGATTTCTAAGCTGTTCTGGTAACTGGGATATAGCCTTGGAGTAATAGGGAATAGAAAATGGAATTTTAAAACAATTTTTTTAGCATTTCAGATAATATTTAAGTTCACTGAAACTGGGACATTCATAGATGGAAAGATTTTTTTTGCTTTATTGAGAGGAATCTTGTAGTCTGCTCTATGTGGTCATCACTAACAATGAGTAAACTTTGGAGAATTTAGTTTTGATCTTCTCTCTCCTGAATTCTCCATTCTGGGGATCTGGAATATTGAAAACATGTATTCTGTGAGATTTGCTGAATAGTTTGACTGATTTTAGTTTACTATTTAAATTGTATGCTTTTAGTTAAAAACAAACAACCAACGTACTATTAAAAAACATCAAATGTTAATTGTGGGAAGGTGCTAATAAAATGGAATTCTCTCTCAATGCTGGAGAGACCTTGGAGTTAGCCAGGCCTTCTAGTTGAATTGTAATGGAAAGAGATTTCTGATTCCTTAAGAATGTAACTGGCTTCACTGAAATGTGGCTGTATGTGATGGACATTTTATTTCAGGGGTTCTAAAGTGTCACTTCCAATTTTACAGTTGGGACAGAGCAGAATATTAGGAGTCACATCTTATTATGTGATAGATTCACTTTATGAGATTGGTCAGGCACATTTTGATGTCTTAGCGTGATTATTGTGATGATCTAATTTAAAAAGCTTTGGTATAGGATATTTCAAACATACTCATTTGATTAAACAGACAGAATAGTACAGTAACCCCCATGTCCTGTCACTCAGCTTCAGCAGCCAAAATCTGAATAGAATCATAGAATGTTGGGAAGAGGATCCAAAATCTTTGGGTTTGAATGTGTTAATTAGAGAGGTTGTAAATTCTCAAAGAAGAGGTCTCTGGGGTGATGCCACTCATAGAAGAAACTGACCAAGTATCTGAGGTCTTTTCTAGCCTGGTGATCTTTTGTGTAAAATGGTGCTTCTCAAGTTTTTTCCTTGACTCCATTTGACTATGATAAAAAATCCCTTTAAACCTCTTAATTCTTCTACTTGTCCCAGAAAGAGGAGCAAAAGTGTTCCAAAGTAAGAGAGTAAACTGATATATATAAGCTTTGGGGCATAATTTGTTTCTTATTAAGATAATAATACATTATAAAAATGTTAACACTCTTCAAATAGTGATTCGAATCACTTCAAATAATGATTCTACTTTTGAGAATCAACTCTAAGAAGATAATCCTAATTATAGAAAATTCTTTAGAGGCATGAATAAGTGGAACACAGAGGATTTTTAGGGCAGTGAAAGGACTCTGTATGACATACTATAATGGTAGATACATGTCATTACATATTTGCCCAAACCCATATATGTACAACAGCAGGAGTGAACCACAATGTAACTGTGGACTCTGGATGATTATGAGGTGTCATTGTAGGTTCATCTCTTGTAACATGGTGATGCAAGCTAAGGTAATGAGTTGTGGTGGGAATGTCGATGATGGAGAGACTGCATATGTGGGGACAAGAATATAAGGGAAATCTCAGTACCTTCTGCTCAATTTTGCTGTTAACTGAAAACTACTCTAAGAAGCCTGTTAAAAAAAAGCTTTAGTGTACAAAGATTTTCATCACAGTGTTATTTATTGAAGTGAGACTTATGAAACAAGTCATATATCTAGCCAAATGAGATGGTTAGTCCACTGGATGGGATGCAACTATTAAAAGATGTTTGGGAAAAGCTTATCACATGGAAAAACCCTTATGTGATGTTAGAGAAAAGATGAGACACAAAAATTGATAATATTATTACAGTTGAAAACATGAAGTAAAAATCTATGAAGAGAAAATATCAAAAGAAATAATTAAAATATTAAAGTGTTTGTCTTTGAGTGTTCTTTTTTCCTTCCTGTTATTTATATTTTCCAAATTTTCTATAATGCATAATTACTTTAATGGTGGATATAACTCAATAATCAATGTTTTTTAAGCATTTAAAACATACTTTGGGGGAAATTTAGAAAATATATTGATGTTATAAGAAAATAATATTGATTTATTTAAAAAACAAATAAAGCCAAAGACTTTTTCTAAAGCATGCAAACAAGAATACAACCCCGATTATTTACTGCTTATGTCAGGATGGATTTTTTTCTGTTTCAGCTTTTGAGTCAGTGGCTCAAAGGACAGTAAATCACTCAGTCGATTATAAGAAAAGTAGCACAGAAGAAAATATTAAAATATTTGCTTTTTTAGCGTAAAAATTCGAGAAATTAAGCTTTACTGATATTTCAGGAATGAGTTGATGCTGGTGCTCCCCTGGGGTCTGAATGTCAGGTGGTCCCTCATCAGATACTTGAAAGAAGGGAGTTTCTTATTCTTTCCTTAGCTTGCAGGATACTGTGACACAGTAAAGTCTATGATTCCTTGTCAAGTATATTTATAGATATTATTATCCTGCAGAAGTAAACAACAAGAAAATGGCAGTGTTAACCCTCTCCTGATCATAAAGTAGCAGAAGATCAACAATCTAATGAGATTTGGCAACAAGTTGGCAAAAAGTTGAAAATTTTGAAGATCAACATTTGAAGTATAGACTTTAATTCACCATTGTAATGATGCATCTTGGCTTAAGTACTGTGCCAACACTGAGAGACTGTCTAATGGTAGGAGAGTGTACATTTGACTGCAAATACATATACAAATGTCTGGAGCAGGAATATATGCTAAGTGATTTTTTTTCTTTATGGATGAGGTGCATGATTCAAAAAGATTTGGAAATCATTGGCTTAGACTACAACTTTAGTACTAAACTAGGAAATAATAGAAGTTTGCTGACTTGAAGCTTAACTTTTAAACCATAATTACCTTTTCTGCAGTAAGTAGAAAAATAATTTCTAAATTTTTCTGACATAAATGTTTTTCATTTTGTGCTGTGTATTGTGTTACCAGATTTGCTGATTCCAAAAAAAGCTGGCATCTGTTGAGAATTAATATAGCCGAGCTGGATTCTCTGGTCAGGAAAACTTTTCTGTTTTTAGAGATTGGCAAAATCCATCAGAAAGTTTCAGGTGTCTTACCCAAGGTCACACAGATGAAAATGTGGCCCTAAAATCCTGCTTATAGTTCACTTCACAACTCATTAATTCCAGGCATAAAAACAGAATGGACATAAATTATGATCATCTTACTGCATTAATGTAACTCCTTTCATTTTTGAATACCTACTGACTTTACCAAAGACATAATGAGAAGTATGTGTGATGTTTAAACATTCCTATGGTTATTTAAAAGTGCTTCATGGCACCTATTTATTTATGAGTCTTTTTCCCTTTTGTTTACTTTCTAGTTGGAGGAGAGCAGATAAATGCCATTGGACGCGGCATCTGTGTATTGCTTGGTATTTCTCTGGAAGATACACAGAAAGAACTGGAGCACATGTAAGATGTGGATTTATAAGTCAGTGCTATTTGAATGTGATATGTGGTGATTATATCCCATTGTATACACACGTACACATACACATTATATATATACATAGTTGTTAAGCTGTCTTTCCTCAGATATTTTGACATATTTTCAGTAACCTTAAGTTTTCTCCAGAGTATTGGCCGAATTGTTCATTTTGAGTAGGT